ATTATTTGACAGTTTCAGTGTGAGCATTCACATATTCTTGACATCAGCTACTCTGCACATAACAGTTAACACTTTTTTCCCTACTTTTTAAGCTGTGAACTTTGATTTGCTTTTCTTCAGAGAGTGTTATATAGAAACTAATCTTTGTTACTTCCCATTCTTTGATGTCATATGGGCATATTTTATGGCTTGATATTACTCTTGTTTAATTAAGAACTTTACAATAAATATGTTTATTATTGTTAAAAGGGAAGAACAGAATCCTTTAAGGGCTTGCTGTTATAGTAGGTGAAAGTGGCAGTTATTTATCATATTACTTAGGTGGTTCTTTAGTAGAATTTAAGAAGGGAAAAATAAAATCTCAATCTTTGAGAAACCAGATAATCTTTTAAAATGATCTATAATCAGAACATTTTAATTAAAGGAAATTTAAAACCATCATTTCAGCCTGTTAGACTTTGCCAGCCCTGGCTGGTCACCAAGCTTGGCCTAGTTTTCTATTTCCTAATTTTAGCCATCTGCTGATTTATGTAATTATGTCGGGGTTAGGGCATGTGATTTTTTTTTCCTTGAGATCAGTGGCTTGGCTCCTCAATCGCTGCAAAGTAATGAACTACATGGTAAACCTACTGATATTCGGGAAAATTCTAGGATCTGTTAGAATGCGGAACAGTTCATAAAAGCCTAACACAAAGGTTAAGTTGTCAAGTTACCTGCCAAACTTGCAAATGTTTGGATAAATACCCTCATATAGTTCTGTCAACTAAAAGCCATAGAGAGTATAGAAATGTGGAGTCCCTGAGGGAATTGTGATCATTATCACACACTATTTCTGGGAAGTAAATTTCATGCTGATAAAATGTACGGGTGATGGGTCCTTTGCCTTCAGCCTCTAGGAAGAAAAGCATTTGAGTCTTTGCCTAGAATGAATTTTTAATACATTTTCAGATGTTATAGAAAGAACCAACAAAGCAAGTGGTTTTACCATGATTGTGGTTTCTCAGTACAATGTACAAGAGGACAGTGTAAACAGTTTTTACTCCTTTTGAGTACCAGTCGGAGGTATGGATTGTACCAGTCTTTCAGAAAAACATGGCAGACTTCTTAATTAATTTTGCAAATTACTTCATGAAGGCTTTTTGCCAGTGCTTTAAAAGAAAGTTTTCTGAACCACATCTGGGCTCTGTTATTATCTAGAGACACTCCTGTCCTTAAGTTAATAATTTTTTTGAAGAACCTTTTTAGTATCTTAGGAGAATACAAAGAGATCATAAGCTATTCTTCTAGGAAATAAGATGGTTGGGCAAATGTATGCCAAATCTTGTAAGCCCGATTCAGTTGGGTTGTTTGTTGTAGGCCAGTGACCTGGCCTCTTTCCTTGCCTGACTGCAGAGATGACATCTGTGATGACTGTTCAGTATTGTACCCTTGATGATTATTCCCTGTTGTCCTCTACTGGTTTCATTTACATTTAAACATTTCTAGCAACCTGTAATCCTTTCCTTGTCCCTTAAGAATTAAACTAGTGCAATGAGCAAATCTGGAAGCTTATTTTTATCCAAATAAGCCTTGGGGAAGTAGACATTTTCTGCAACTTTATTCATAGGAGCCAAAAACAATTAGAGTTTTTAGATCAACTTGGAATGTGAAAATCTGTTATTCCTGCAGTCTGTCTTTTTGAGCTTCCTCTTTGCTCTTAAGAATTGTCACTGTGCTTTTGAGTGCTAGGTAGTAGGAAAATCTGAGTATCTGATGGGTTAACAGATTCTGAAGAAAGGAAGAGTGGCAACCACACTGGCCACTACACATTACTCTGGGATTTGGTTAGTTAGTTCCCAGACCTTTTTGCCCTATCATGAGTGTGAATCCAAGGTTCTAAAGTCCTTTGTTATGCTTTTTCTTTTAGTTGATGATTAAGAAAAAGTATCACATGAGCAAGATGCCTTTGGGAATCTTCAGGGTTAAATATTTGCTTGTAGATTATCTACTAGTTATTGCTGACTTCAAGGCCTCTCTACCTTGTTGCTGCCTGCTCATTCCTCTAAGGTGGAGAATACAGACTGAACAGTGCTATGTCCCCCTCAAGAGGATTCTCAGGCTCTTTGACAACCATTGACCCAAAGAATCCATTCAGTTCTATTAATCTTTCTTGGCTTCTGTGCATTCCACTTCTTTCAGACATTCCTTTTATGGGGAGGCAACATGGAATGTAGAAAGAGCATGGGGTTTGAACCACTTCAAATCCACATACACAATTTATTAACTGCATGGTAATGGACAAGTTACTAAGTTTCCTCATCAGTAAAATGGGGATTGTTAGACCGGCTTATATAGGGTTGTTGTGAGGATTCAAGATTATGTATGAAAGTTTGTAGCAGAACTTCTTAATCCCCTTAGCCTTACAAACCACTCAATTACAGAACCCCAGCCTAAATCACTTAATACTTTTCTTTGCTCCTGTATCCTGGTTGTTAGGTGTTGCCACTGGAAATCCATGGTTCAGGATCTCAGCAGAGACCTCAGTGCTGCCCAGCAGTTCTGTGTGATTTTGGTCAGCTTTCTTCCCGTCCTATGCAGAGGTCAGAAATTGGTGGCCCAGAAGAACTTAGTTCTACAGACATGTTTCGTTTCACCTTGAAGTAGTTTTTTAAATTTTGGGATTGATTGTGAAGGTTTAAAAATTAGGAGATTTCAAATGAAAGTTAAAACATCTAGCTTCTTTTAGAAAATTGGATGATCTGAAAACCTGGTGTGCCACAACAGTCATTATTTTCTCCCTTGGGACAGGCCTATCCATCTTGCCACGTGGCTCACCACACCCTGTGAACATATACTGGTCCATTAGACTCAGATATGTTGCTTGCTTGATTTTTGTGGGCACTTACTTTTTGGTCTTGTCCTGTGGTCTTTCACTCCTTAAAATCTCTCAAATCTGTCCCCTTCTCTCCATACCTAAAGCCCTCATCATTTCTAATTTGGAGTACTGAAATAGTGTCATAACCCAACTTCTTATCTCTAGTATTATCCCTCTTGAGTCTGTCTTCATAGTATTATCAGATTCATCTATCTAAGTTGCAAATAGAATCATATCACTCTCTTGTTTCAGATTCTCCATTGTCTTTCCACTTTGTACTAAATGAAGTTTAAACTCCTTAACATGGTGTTGCAGCTCTACATGATCTAGTCAGTACCTCTCCAGTCACTTAACCTCTCTGTGTCTCAGTTTCCTCCTGTGGAACATGGGAGAAATAATAGTTCTTACCCATAGGGTTATAATGAACATTAAATTAAAATGCATATAAAATACTTGGTACAGTACTTGACACTTGTTAAGTGCTCAATAAGTATTAGCTTATTAGTATTATGATGATACCATGTTTTTGTTTGTTTGTTTGTTTGTTTGTTTGTTTGTTTTTCTAGACCCCCGGCCTTTGTATTTGCTGTCTTTCCTACTCTGATTCTTCCCTTGATTGCAACTCATCCTTGAGGACTCAGCTCATGCATCACCTCCTCCATGATACATTCCCTGATGCTCCATAATCCTAGGTCACCTGTGCATACCTTTTCACATTGCAGCGAAGTCTCATTTCTTATTCTAGTCCTTATTTAGACTCTTAAGCCCTTTGAAGATAGGAACTATCTTATACATCCTTGTATCCCCAATGACCACTGCAGATCTAGGCATCTTAAATGCTTGACAAAATTGATACATCATTCATGGCTGAAGATATTTGATTAGTATTACTGCTGTTGTTTTTAGGAATTTAGAAGATGTCATAAAACCTTTTTTACTAACCTATTATTTAAAATGAGTTAATAAACCCATTTTAGTGATAATTATTCTTTAGTTATTGTTTTTTTCCAAAAAATGAAATAACTTTATTTCTGACCATGAGGAATACATGCCGTAGTAGAAAATAGAAAGAATACAAAGTGAAAAGAAGAAATCTTACTACTCAGCAATAACTAGTATTATTAAAGTATTTTGAATATATAAGCTTATGTGTGTGCTACTCAATTTTCATATTTAAAATCTTACCTATAAATGAATCTTATTGTACAAACAGCATTAAAATATCCAGTTTAATATAATGAAGCCACTACTTTTGTGTTCCACGTTGCAAGGAGCTTCCTGTCTCAGGTAATGAAATGTGGCTTCTACTAAGACACATGTGCTCTAGGAAAGAAGTCTGAGATCCAGTCTGTCATATGACCCTGTCATTCCCTCCTTTATAGGTGACCATTCACTTACCAATATATGCCATTTCATCTGTGCTTACAGGCCATTCTCTAAGAACAGAGCAGTTTAAGTTTGGAGAACTAAAGCTAACAACCTAAAAGAAAGGATTGATCATTTGTGGAAGCCAAGGATGTCTTTTTTTAGGAAAACTTTCTTGTTTATCCCCCGTGCCTGTCTCCTACCCCATGTAGCTATTGCCATAATTAACATGGCATTTGCAGGAATAAATCTACCATATTTTCTTCTCTCAAAACGACAAAACTAATGCAGGTCTTCTTTTTCTTCTCTTTATATCAAGTGTCCCATTTCCACTATCCACCCCCACCTCAACCCTATCAAGATTTATTTTATGGAAGAAATGTGTTCTTACCTATCTTTCTCTTTTTTGTAGTATGCTCTTTTGGTAATTGTCCACTTCCATTTTTGTGACACGTCCCTTTCTAGGGAGCGATACTGGCCTACATTCCATAAAGTGAATCTTTGTTGCTAAACCCAATTTATATCTCAACTGTCATTCTATGGTGGCAGCAGATTTTAGCCTGCAGTGTGGATAGGCTGTTTGAATGAATGAAATTTGCTATACTTGGATTTCATCTTCTAATCCAATTCCTATCTTTTGGAATGGTTGGAACATAGTTATCATAATGAGAAATGTCAACTGTCTTTTATAGACAGTGTTTCTTTCCATTTCTCCAGTTTCTCTTAAGTTTACTTCCCAAGTGCTATTTGCTCCCTATTCTTACTTACTTTTTTGTTTTAGATCACAGATTCTGCTGGCCATATTCTATACTCCAAGGAGGATGCAACCAAGGGGAAATTTGCCTTTACTACTGAAGATTATGACATGTTTGAAGTGTGTTTTGAGAGTAAGGGTAAGTAATCAGAGTTTTCTCTGAATTAAGCATCTTCTCTCAAGTTAGAGCATGAACTTTCTCTCTTGGGCTGGCAGGAAGAGGAGATGAAAATTACATTTGTTGGGGTGCACACACATGTAAGTGAAAGTAATGTTCTTCATGTGCAAGAATAGCCAAATATACTGTGACATACTTGGCTTGAATGATAGAGTTTAATTTGGTGTAGATGCTAGAAAATGCAGTAAGTCCTTAATGTCATTGTTAAGTTCTGCAGCTTTATGCAAAACAATGAAACAAATTTTACCATAAGCAAGAGTTAAGTTCCTATAACATCTCATCAACATTATACCAAAGCAAGATTGAATTAAACATTATTTAATGCATTTATATGCTAGTAACATGTTTTCTAGAGGATTAAAAGTAGGGTCTATCAGACAATATATGGCAAAGTCAGAAGCAGTTTTGGTCTTCAGAGCACTTGTTATTTCCTAGTCCTGATATCTTGCTATGGAGTCTTCTGTGTATCTCAAGGCCAAAATCCCATAGTAACTTTTAGGCTGATCACCTGATGGTTTCTGCAGTCAGTAGTAGGTGAAAAGGCAGATTCCCTTTCACTCCCTATTCTTTAACTTCAAGAACACTAGACTCTAAAATCTGTATGTGCTTATACTTATATTAGTTGGGACCTCTTTGGGCCACAAGACAGAGAAACATAACTCAAACTGGCTTAAAGAGAAAGAAGAGAAAGACATTTGACTCTCTGACCTGGGAAGTCTTCAGTGTGGTACTGACGTCAGGCACAGCTGGATGTTGGAGTTTTAACAGTTATCATTGGACCCCCTACCTATCCTTTAGTGCTTCTTTTCCTTTGCCTCCATTTGACTTTATTCTCTGGCTTTTCCCGTATGGCAGCAAAAGGACTCCTGGCAATTTTGCATTTACAGAATATTCAGAACATATGATCCTAGAAGAAGAGCAAGCACCTTTGTCAACAGCACTAGTAGAGACCCAGGAATAGCAGATCAATTTGTTACTTTTGACAGTTAAGCAAGAATTGACCCCCTTGATCTAAATTGGATCAATTTAGCCTAAAAGCTAAGGGAGTTCGCCTGAAGTAAATGGAATAATAGATTAATAATAGAAAATTAAAGGACTTAATAGTGATTTCATGACTGATATCCTTCTCCCTGCCCCCACCTCTGCCACTTCCAGAATGTCTCAACAATATTCTAGACATTTCCCCATGGTTATGCCACGCTTACCTCAAAACCAAGATGTCTAAGACTGTATTCATGAACTTCTCCTTCAAACTGGTTCCCCTCTCTCATCAATATTACCACCACCCTTCCAGTTACTTGGGCTTACATTTTTGAAATTTTTTTGTCCTTTCCAGTCAGTCTGTCATCAAGTTATACTGATTCTTCTTTCAAAATATCTTCTATATCTGTCACCACACAAATCTGAACTCTTAATATTTTAAATCATGAATTATGTCATTAGCCTTCTCATATCCCTGTTTTTAATATATTCAAATACTGCTACCAGATTTATCTCCCAAAACATATCTTTCGCCATGTCAGTCCTCTGTACTGGCAGTAATGTTCCTGTTCTGTGGAATGAAACCTAGAATCATAAAATTTTTGAACTGGTATCATGGCATTTAATAGTCTGTACTCTCACTTCAGCCTTATTTTCCACTACTCATCAGGCCCCAACCAGCCTGGTTTGCTCTGCCCTCTAAATATGTCACATTTATTCATTTCCTGGAATACCCTCTTCCCATATAAACATAAGTTTACCTTTAGTTCTTTTAGAGTATTTTCCCCAGCATTCTAGCCTGTTCAGTCAAGTTTCTCAATCAATTGATGGAATGATTCAGCAAATACTTATTAGGTACCCTTATATACCAAGCACTGTTCTAGGTGTTGGGATATAGCAGTTAATAAAACAGAAGTCTCTGTTCTTGTGGAGCTTGCATTTTCATTGGAGCAAACAGACAAATAAATATAAGTCAGGTGGTAATGAGGGCTTTGGAGAAAAAGCAACACTTTGAGATGCTGAGCATGTCTCAGAAACAGCAAGGAGGTTAATGTGGTTTCCTCTAAATAGTACATCACTTACTGGTTGGATTAGTTATTTAGGCATTTGGATATTTCACATGCACACAGCTTTGTGTTGTTAAATGTCTCATGTACATATGTCTAATATTCCCAGTTTTAAACTTTTTGAAGAGTTTAAAATTAACCCTGACCTACCCTAGCCCAAAACCTAGTCATGAACCTACCGTAATTCTAACCCTAATCCTAACGCTAAACCTAAACATAACGCTAAACCTAAACATAATGCTAAACATATCTTTTGTTCTGAATCTTTTATACACTGATGCTGTGCATGTAGATGCCTAGGTACTAATTTTTTTAAAAAATGTATATATCTATATGTATATGTATAAAATATATATATAATATACGTATACACACACAGACATGTTATAATAAGCACTCAATTTCTAGGCTCATTTGTGTTCTCTGTTAATTCTGATTTAGCGATCTGCTACCTTGTAGTCTGGGGAGCACCTTTTAAAAAATGTTTTTTTGCCAGGCACATGCAGACAGAAATTACTGAAGGGTCTTTTTACAAAGAAGAGCCTTTATGGCCATGATGTCAGCTAAAGGAATAGGCTGGCTGTTCTGTGCCAGAGATTGTATGGTCTGGACTCAGACCAGCCAGAGGTCTGTGGTTTTGTGGTTTCACTTGTGTTTGAATAATGCTAATGCTATGCTCTGGCGAACAGAAAGCGGAGAGTCTCAGGAAGACAATATCTTGATCATTTGGACCAGGCGGCGTTGTGAGCTGCTTGGATTTCACAACTTTTTAAATGAGGAAAGAGAAGCAAAAATTTGCATTTGCCATGCTGTGATCACTATTACACATTAGATTTGGGAGAAATGACCTCTCTGGGTGCCACTTTTTTATTTTGTTTTGGAGACATTAATGCTCAGAAGGCATCTTTGACTTGTCATCATTTCTTAATCCTACCTATTCAATCTTATTTCTGTTGCTTACAAATTGATTCTTCTAGTCCACTCAAAAGAACTTCTTTATTGTCTTTTAATGTCATACTCATTTCAATATGTGAGCCTTTGCCCATGCTTGTCTTCTGCCTGCAATACTTTGTCCTACCTTCAAGTGCTCCCTCTTTAGTGAAGTCTGTCTACAACTAATCTCTTTCCTTCTCTAACATTTGCTCCTTAACTGGGATTATCTGAACCAGTTTTTTTTTTTCTTAAAGTTTTATACTGCTTTGCATTTTCACTGTAGCTATTATGCATCTTTATGTCTTAGATCCCCACTGAATTTTTTGAAGGCAGAAATTATAATCTCCAGCACAGTTCTAGCATCCACTGAGTTCTCAATGAGTAGTTTTTGAATTGACCCATTTGAGCCCATTTGAGCCCATTTCAGAAAATCTCCAGTGTCTCTCAGGCAGTAGAGCATACAGTACCATTCTCTGTGACTTTTGGTCTCAATAATCCCAGTGCTTAAATGGCACTGTTTCCCAAAACTCCTAATTTCATGCATGCAGTTTTTATTTTATAAGTAGTCAGGTAAATTCCAGAGGATTGGGGCTGAGCAGTTTTCCGGGGCTCTTGTGTCTTTCTCTTTCTCCTACTTAATGTTTTAAGATTAGAATTCCTTTTTGATCAAGCTGAATCAGATACCTTTCCTAATATGAACATTGCTCTGTTGGCCCTACTATCCCAAATAGACGATCCTCTTTCTAAGAAGCATCGCTGAGAATTGTACTCTTGTCAAGTTTTTTCTTGGGCTGTTCTCTTTTAAGGGCTTCGTAGGAATAGTCCTATAACATTTTATTTATCTATTGAAATGGGTTTACATTGACCAAAATGTTTGAATTAAACTGGAACGTTAGATAAATTTTGTGTTCTTTTCAATACTCATGTTTATATTAAGTAAATCCAAGCTTAATATGTGACCAATAATACTTCTCTTAACATTTGACAGAATAACCTTTTCAGATGTGAAAATGTACTTTCTCAGCCTAAGTTAGTGCCCACTAGCTCTTGGTCTATATGCCAGTCGGTTTTATACTGTTTTGACTTTTTTATTTCCTATTCCAGTAAGCCTGTGTGTTTTCTCCTGTTTTGTTCTTCTGTAGTACTAGCTGCAGGATCTTGTGTCCTGCCTGCTCAGAGATGTTTGCCAGCAGCATGTTCTCTTTGCTTTCCGGCACCCCACACAGACAGAGGCTTTGTCTGGAATGCTTGTGATTTTAGCCAGAGCCAGGAATTTTCTGCAGCTGAGTAGGGGGAGGAGTTACAGCTTTTTCCTTTTATGGGGGTGGGGGGTTGTTGTTATGGAGAAGGAGGATGGGTGGGTGATTTCCCAGAATTTTAAATATTCCTCACAATGAATCCTTTGATTTCTTTCTCAGGAACAGGGCGGATACCTGACCAACTCGTGATTCTAGACATGAAGCATGGAGTAGAGGCAAAAAATTACGAAGAGGTAAGTCCAGCCGTAACAGCCTGAGGAGGCAGTAGCAGCTGTGCTGTGAGGTTTCTGTGACCTAATCAGGCCAATGGGCTGTGTTATGCCCAGAAGGCTCTGGTTTTCTCAGCAGTCATGTGACAACCAGCTACAATTTTATTGATACAAAATGTTGTATTAACAGCCTTGAACAATAATTTTGGCTGTGCTCTTAGCCAAATGACCAAGCCAACTGTCCCATAAAAGTGTTGGTATGATAAAACACTCAAGCATATACCATTAGCACTCTTGAGACAGAAAACAGATATATATTTATAATTTTTAAAAGCTGGAATTCATTTATATATGACAAAGTTAAGAAAAGTGATTCGTTTTTAATTCTTAAACCTTTTATTCCCAGACTGACGGCTATGTATGTATGTAGAGCATGGATTCAGTGCTGCTTAGACTTGAACTGTGCTGCCTTTGAGAAACACAATAGTCAAAAATAGCTTTTAGTTGAAATAATTTCACACTTTTAAGGAAGAGAGCAAGAGGGAAGAAACAAATGCAAGAGACTCGATAATGATAATGAATAGAAATGTTTGCCGATAGGAAGTGTTATAATGAATAAAAACTGACATTTATTTGGGTAGTAGGGAAGTAAAAGTACATAGAATAAGTGGAAGGGGGACTGAGCCTTTTTCATACCTATTATGAGAGACTCTAAGGGCAGCACAGAATGGTTCTTCAAATCAAGAGCACCTTTGAAAAACCACAAGAACTATTTAAGACTGGAGGATTGATCTTTACAGTCCGATAAGAGTCTTTAAAACAGTACCCGACGGCATGAAGGAGAGGAAATGTAATTGGCTTTTGAAGAATATAAACTAAAAAACAGGGAAAGTTGTTTTAAGTGATTTAAGAGAATTTTCTAGAACCCTTGGAACAGAAGTTGCTCTGTCTTTGGTCAGGACTTGAAAGGGAATATCCTTTAAAATGGAAGAAGACTGGAAGTGACTGGCTAATTCTGTGACAGGAAGTAGTAGTACAATTGTAGCTCTTCAGGCCTTTCCTCTTTTTCCTAGTGCAAGTGTTCAGTTGAACAAAACTAGATTAAGTAATTTGTAGGCAGTAAACAGGAGCAAGTGATGCAGTAGTGAATGGAAGATAGTTCCTGTCTCCAGGGTAGTTTAATTAAAAGAAAGAAAGTAGTGAGAACCTCTTTATTTGATGAACTTAAATTAAGGTAAAGTAAAAAAATCCTTTTAAAATTTCATGATTTAGAAGAGTCTTAATTATATTTAAATAAGATAACTTCTTAAAGTGCTGTTGTTAGGTATAAAGCACTAAGAAAAATGTAGTTATGAGGAGGAAGAAGAATAGGTAAAATAATTTTCAGGTTTTGATTACGGCTGCTGTATCCTCGACCTCATATCATTCTCTAAGTAAACATTCATCGAATTCCTATTATGTGCAATTTTACTTTTTTATAATTTTTTTACCCTAATGTGATAGCTATCATTAGATGGTACATATTAAATAAAAGGCCACCGGATTAGACATTAGACATAGCTTGTTCTCTAGAACAGATTTTTTTGTATTATTATGAGTTTACATATAGAACGATGTGGGCATCACTGTTATATGGCATTTTAGAACTCCTGTACCTCCTGGAATTTTCCTCATCCTTGGACTTTGTTGACACTGGGAAAGGGCCATTATCTTTCCTGACCTTTTGCTAGCGGGGAATCCCTAGCAGAAAGCAAACCACAGCGCTTCCTTTGCGCTGTTTCCTGCTTTGGAAGTCTGGCACGTCCTAAGCCTTTCTTTACGCACACGGTTACAACACAGCTCTAGATTCTGTTTCTTAACTAAGAAACTCCTCCTACTACTTTCTTTGGCAACCTACCTTCACTCCTGCCGCTCTCCACCCCCTACCCCCCGCCCCCAAGAAGCAGACCAAATTGAGACAGAGAAGTGGTTATGACACGGCCAAAGACCAGTCCTTTTCTCAATCTACAGCAAAGCTTCCTTGAACCTAGCTTAGATATAGCTGTTAGTTGTCCCTGGACTAATGCCTGTGACAGGAAAATGGATAATGGAACCAGTTGTTCCCTGGTTAATTACCAGCAGAGGCTTTGAGGCATTTAATTTCAGGCCCTTGAGATAATGGAAAGCATTTGTCTCCAGAGGATTTGGGTCCTTTGGCAGCAGTATTTTGTTCAGGAAGGTGGCACATTTCTCTAATTTTCTTCACATTCAGTATATTTCTCCCTCACGTTTGTGAACTTTATAATTCTGAAATCCCATGTGGCCTTGTAAAATTCAGTAGTAATCAATGTCTTAATAGCTGGGCAGAGTATCACACTACCTACTAAATTGTTATAGAGGATTTAATTAGTTAATGCATGTGGAATCGCTATGTAAACAATACAAAAGTAAGATGATATTTGGAAGACAAGATGATTGCTGAATTGTAAAGAAGCATAGAATCTTGTTTGAATTCTTAAAAGAGAAAGAATGCTTATGTCCTCAGAAATAAAGCACTTTATTATTCCCTCTTGTATCTTAAGGACCTCTCACCTCTATCCTTTGCTCATGGGGTCGGGGTAGAGGGGTATCTTTGCAGATTCAGTTTGTCAGTTGAGCCATTATATTTTAATTTGTCATCTGTAAACTATAGCAACTCTTGGCAAGGACTTGCTGTCTTAATTGTGCAGTTGTGAGAATGAAGGCAGTTACTGTCCCACAAAGAAAGAGCTGTCAGATATATGCTCTAACTCTTGGGCTGTGTATGCCCTTTCCTGCTATAGATGTCAGCATTTTCACCAGAACTAAAATCCTGCTTTGCTTAGGGGTTCTTTGTCAGTCATTTGCTATCAACAGATACACCAAAATCACAGTTGCTGTCATCATTGCCAATGCCGAAGGATTCCTAAAAGGTCTGTTTCTCTGGATGCCCTTAGGAAGAAGGAACTGGTTCTTTTTCTTTTTTTTTTTTTAATGTGCGCAACAATCTCCAGATAAGAGTATGATTACCAAGGGGCTGGTTCCATGTACTAGATCCAAAATTCCTTTCTCGACATAAGTTAAATGAGATAACATGAATAAGGTACCTGACACATAGTTGGTCAGTTCAGTAGATTTTAGCTCCCTTCTCCTACCCTTTCTGGAAACTGCCATATGGCTATGACAGAGTAAATAGGATCTACTAAATTCCATTTAGCCTTAAGATTGGCAATGTTATCTGGACTTATTTTGTCATAATAGGGACCTTTTGCGCTTCCGTGAAGAGGCTTGTGGTTCACATATGCCACGTGCAAGTAGACTTGTCCTGTGTAGTTCCGTCTTCTTTATCTTGATTGCATTAGGCTAGATGGTTTCCACTTTTATTGCTGTGCTTTTCAAATTTTCAGGGGCTGTGTTGCGGGGCGTAGAGATAAGCAATTTGACTGACTTCAGCTTACCCACAAGAAGCTTCTCTCTTGAGTCTCGGTGCTCTATCAAGGGAAAGAAACTAGTGATTCTCTAGAAGCTGGTTTCACATGTGTGTTTTTCAGAGTTAACACCTTTCCTTGGTATAATTACATATCACTGAACTCTTTAGATTTAAATCATTATTAGAGGACTGGAAAATTCAGATACAGTTTAAGAAGAGTAATTTTACAGTTATTTTAGAGGTGTTGTAGATATTCAAGGGAAGGCTTTATAACTTTTAGCTTTTCCAAACAGACCTGCCATTACATATGAGAGTGATAGATATCATGGTAAAACTATCTCCTAGGCAGTGGGCCTCCTGAAAATGAATGCAGAGTGAAAACAGATGCAGAGTGCTCTTAGCGTGCAGAAAATGCTTGCTTCAGGGAATCAGCAGCACTTATTATCTGCTGTAAGAAAATTGGCTTCTTTGAAGAATGCATAGAATGGACATAACAAGTCAGTTTCAAGTGTTTGCCATGTGTTAGGTATGTGAGACTATACAAAGTATACATCGTGTTAATTTCATTGAGTTGAAGGCCAAACTTACGTAGGGGAAAAGGATAAAAATCAAAACAATGTGAATATGACATTGTATGATTGAATGTTAAATGTGTGTCTCAGTCTAAGTTCTGTAGGGCTTTAGGGAAGAGGAAATCAGTGCGGACAGGAGTGCTAAAAGGAAGCTCCATGGTTAAGGCTTGAAAAGTAGGGTTTGGATACACTGAGTGTATGTGCATTTGGAAGTCATAGATTTGGTTTTGCTTGCATTTTATAGCAGAGCTTTGCAGTTTTGATGCTGAATAAATGCTTTGATGACTCTGGGTGGGGAGTCAAGAGACCATGGTTCTGCAAGTCTTGGCCTTCCACTCAGAGGACTGAGTAGCTTTGTGGAATCTTCAGTTTCCTTGTTTGTAAAATGAAGCACTCATAGGTCTAATATTTGATAATTTAACAGTTAAATGCAGCCTACTAGGGGAATGCTGCCCTCTAGTGGAGAACCTATGGTCCACACTGTCGAACAGGCTTTGCTTTTATCAAGCTTTTGGCAAGAACACATCATCATTGCAGCTTTGGAAGAGAGAAGTAGACTAGATGAATAAATGGCCTTCATGAAACATGTATAATTTCACATTCTTACGGACACTTTGAACATTAAATCGGATGTTCAGAAGAACACAACAGTTGAGATATTGATAGAGGTTTTCTTGTTAGTTTATTGTGCTGACTATGATATAAAGTCTTGATGATACTCATTGAATACTTAGTCCTGGGTAAGTGAAGAAGGTTTTCCTGAGAATACTTATGATAATTTTTTTTTTAAATTTTATTTTCATAGTCTGTAAAAATTTGAATAACAACAATATGAAACCTAGGAAGTTTGACTAATAAACTGGACCACTTACCTGGATCTTTATGGCCTAATATTTATCTTTGATCCAGAAAAAACTTAGTGTGGTTATCTGGTTTTCTTCATCAAATTTTTAGTACCTACAGAATAAAATGTAAACTCAGACTTGGATTCCAATCCCGGCTCCCAAGCTCTGAGGCCTTGGGAAAGTTATTTAATAATCTGAGCCTTAATTTTTTCATCTGAAAATGTAAGGATAATAATATTTATCTTATATAGAGTTATGAGGGTTAAATGATATTGCACGATATAAAATACATATCACATTCTGAGTATATACTAAGAGGTCTAATTCATTATACTACCTTCATCCTCTTGCCCAATTTAGCTCCAGCCTAACTCTTGAGCCATATATTTGCTATTATCCACCACCCTCTCCCAAGCACTTGTGTGTGTTGGCATGCACACACGTGCATCAGCCTACTTATGACTAGATTACTCACGATCTCCTAAACACAACCTGCACTTTCCTTCCTCCGTGTTTTGATTTGCATGTTCCTCTCAGCCTCGAATGTCTTTCTCTCTTGTCTTTTTCAAAGTCCTGCACAACTTGTGAGACCCAACTCACCCACTTCCTGTTAGACTTTATCCTTTCAACTATAATTAATCTCATGCTACTTTCTTTCCATTCCACTCTTAATGTGTGCCTTTGTTGTAGAAGTTAATACATAATGACTTATATTATGGTTATAGCTTTTTATGTGAGCCTCTCCACCAGACTGTGAGCTTATTAGGAGCAGAGAACATAATTTATCTTGGTACCATGCACATAATAAACATTCAAAAAAGCATTATTATTAGGATCTTAAATGTTAAGAAAACAACAACAAAAAAATCTTTTTACATTTGTTTTGATTTTTAGGTTTAGATTAAATGTAGAAATTTATCCATTATCGTTTTTTTACCGTTGGGTATTCATGTTAGGTGGTTGAAATAACAAGTTGGTTTTTAATATTGTTTTAGTCTCTTGGCAATTCTTTAAGTTTCCTAGGTCTTAAGTTAATGTCAAGAGTAAGAGTAGTTATTAGGTAGAGGTGTTTTTTTAGGAAAAGAGACCTTCATCCCACTCAGAAGTCTGAAAATAATTTACTGAATTAAGGACAGTATTAAGTAGGGATTTCATTGAGGTAATAAAATCGAGTTAAACAATAGCAATTGAGCTGTTTGGTTATGAATAGAATCTTCCGTACTACCTTTACTAGGAAAAGGGTTAGGGAATTGAATGATTAAGTAGACAATGTGGAATACTGTACAGCAGTTAAGAATGAGGTGAATCTGCAAGCACTGAAGTTTTTGGAAAGATCTTATTAAATGATTAAAAAAAAGCAAGCCATAAGAACAGTATATATACATTATGATCCCATTCATAAATGATTTTCCTGTGTGCATTTATATACAAACAAAGGCATAAATAGTATGTATCATCTAACAAGGTCTAGAAAGATAAACACCAAGTTCATAACCATGGTCACCTCTGAGAAGGAATGTGTTGATACGGAAATTGAGCTATGAAGGTGGGCTTGTGTTTGTTCTCTTTGCTTCTGTATAGTTTAAATTCTTTAGCAGGAGAACATACTTACGTGTTGCTCGTACAATTGAAAAATAAATGAAACACCAGAAAGGAAAAGCATTGGGAACAAGTATTTTGGGCTACAATAAAATCTACAACAGCCACTTTATTACCAAATTTATTTTAATTCATCCATTTTTAGGTTTTAGGCGTCATTTAACAACCCCAAAAAAAGGTAGGGGAGGGGGTTAGAAGTAGTCTTCAAAGTAATTTTAAAAATTATTTTCAGCTGGCAGAGGCACAGCCATCGTTTCACTTCCAGTTCCTTTTGCAAGTTTCTATTTAAGGAACTTTAAATCATTCATTTCTAGAGAAGTACTATAGCATTGCTTTTAAAACTCTCTCATTCAGGAAGCTTGGAGGTAGAAGTATAGACCAGGAGGGAAAATGTTAAACAGGCTAAGATTCAGCTTATATAGCTCTTGTATTGGTATCTTTTTCCTGGGGAATTTCTTTGCTCTGTAGCTCTATGTGACATATATGATACATGGTCTATGTTGATGGCAAAACCTAGCATTTGGGCATTCAGCTAGGAGAGTTAGCTTAATGCATTAACTTAATCATTGGTTAAATCTTATACCAGTTAGCTCTCTTCTGTTCTGCAGCTCTCAGTCACATGATTAACTCTAGCCAACATTTTACAAATGTAAGAAAATGTATATCCAGTGAAAGAAATCTTAGGTAGATCATTACAAATCTATCACCACATTTATATACCTTAAGTATCAACTCAATTTTTATATCCCTATCTTAACAGCAGCAGTTTCTAGTTTTATTTTAAATAACTTGTCTTATTCTTCACGTTTAATGAAGAATACAGATAAGCAAAGAGAACTTAAGAATACCCTTTAACTCTTCCCAGTCATTTCATGTTAACTGTTGTTAACATTTAACAGAGAAAAAGAACAAGGAAGGGAATTGGATAGGAGAGAAGAAAAAGTAGGGAGTTCTGTAGATTATGGTAAAGAGGAGGTAAAGAAACAGATGTAGAAAAATGATTTTTGAAAAATTCTCTGTATGGAAAATTTTAAGAGCAACTATTATATAAGTTTTAAGATCTGGACTGCTCTGGCAATATATCCCCATTTTAGAGCAAATAATAATTTTAGATTAATAAGAAAAACAATTAGAATAATGAAATCCTTGCTCTTGTCATATCTTGGGGGTTTCACTGATGTCTAGGTTGAGATAGGAAGACAGTTCATTTCTTTCTCACATCCTTCCTTCCTTAGCATACCGTGAAGTTCCTGGAGATTTTTCTTTTTTAATAACTGGCAGTGTCATTCTAAACAAAAAATGCAGTGCGATTTTTTTAGCAGACCTAGGATTCATCTGGGCTGTGGAGCTCTAAACCTAAACCTGTTGTGGGATTTTAATGAGCAAACCAGAATTCTCTAATTTTGTAGCTTGAGTTATTATCTTAATGCTAGAGTTATACCTATTCTCTTATTCCTATGCATTCACTATTGGGAATTTGGCGATTTTTCTTCTGATACCATATTTGACTTATTATGCTAATAATATTGTTTGTTTCTTAGACTTGAGTGGAAGGGTAAAGTACTTTATTAAAGTCAGAAATCTTGGGAAAATAATATATCTTACTTTACAGTCTTCCATATTATAGTAGTCCTAAGGAGATTTTAATCAAAATTAAAGTCTAAAAAAGTCTGAGGTGGAAACATGTAAACAATAGTAGGGAGGGGACCGGAAGCCCAGACCTTAGAATATGTTAGAATGATGACAAGAGATTTTAGGTTTGGTGTAACTTTTTAAAAGACACCTCTGTTGCCTTGTGTTCTTGACCGGAGCAATTTTTTTCAGGGAGTGGGTTCATAATTTCTTTCTTTTCCAGATCGCAAAGGTCGAGAAGCTGAAACCTTTGGAAGTGGAGCTACGACGCCTAGAAGACCTTTCCGAATCTATCGTTAATGATTTTGCCTATATGAAGAAGCGGGAGGAGGAGATGCGTGATACCAATGGTGAGGGGAAGGCAGCTTTGGTTTCTCAATAAGTGAAGCATAAAGGATTCAGATCTCCAAACTTCTAATTCTGGTGTACCCTTTTCTCAGTTTTGCCAAAGGTATATGGGAAGATAATTGCTTACTTCAGTGTTGTTGCTACAGGTCAATGAGCCCTGTTAGAGTTTTCACGGGAATAGAAATTTCTGTGATATGCTGTTGACTATATTCTCAGCTTATCGTGTATCAACTTGATAGTGCAAATCTTTATAACTTTTAACATGGAATTTTAAGAAAAAGCTATCTGAAATCCTACTTTTAGGCCTGGAGACAGTGAAGTTAATTGCCTTTTCCCCCTGGCTATTATTTTGCCTGCTGAGCCTCACTTTATTACATTTACAACACTTTTGTTTTTTTAGAGTCAACAAATACTCGGGTCCTCTACTTCAGCATCTTCTCGATGTTCTGCCTCATTGGACTAGCCACTTGGCAGGTCTTCTACCTGCGTCGCTTCTTCAAGGCCAAGAAGTTGATTGAATAATAAGGCCCACTCTCCTCCCACCCTGTATCTCAGCCAGCAGAACATCAGTGGGACATGCCTGGCCTCAGGCATCCTACCAACAGCACCATCAAGGCACATTGGAATTTTCTTTCCAGAACTGATCTCTTGTTGTGGGAGGACATAGGTTACCACCTATACCCAACAAGTCATTGAGGAACTTCTTTTTAACTTGATAGCATTTGGACTGGTTTTGCAACAAGAGGACTATTATTAAAGTCACCTATGACAAAAAATAGGGGTTACCTAGATAATGCCAAAGCCAGCATTTGTACTGGGTTTCCTCATGTGATCTGTTTGAAACATATTTTCTTTCCTTCTACTTGCTCACCAGTTTGGGCTTCCACTTTAGTTCCTTTACCAAGATTTGTATGACCATGTGGAACTTGTTTCATTCTGATTGTCCACTTCGGATTTCCATGTGAAAACACCCTTAACTTTATCTTAACCCTAGTTAAAATGTTTAGGTAGCTTCTGGTAATATCTTTTCATAATTTTCTGTCTCTTAAAAGGGAAGTGACACCTCATAGAAATGCGCTTTGAATTATAGGTAACTCTTAAAGAATATTTCGTTTTAGAGAATTAAAATATTTGTGCTCAACTGCTTGAATTTTTTTTTCCGTGTATTTATGTGTATTTAGTTCTATGCAGTTTTATTACATGTGTAGATTTGTGTGACCACCGCAAGTTGCAGAACAGTTTCATCACAGGGGTCCTTATTGCTATCCTTTCATAGCCACAGCCACCTCCCTTCCTTACCCTCAAGCCCAACCTCTGGCAACCACAAATCTGTTTTTCATCTCTCTAATTTTGTCATTTCAAGAATGTTATATAAATGGAATCATACAGTATGTAATCTTTTGGGATTGACTTTTTTTCACTCAGCATAATTCCCTTGAACAATCCATGTAGGTTGTTGCATGTATTAGTACTTTGTTCCTTTTTTTGCTCAGTAGCGTTTCATGGTATGGATGTACCACGCTTTGTTTAACCATTCACCCAGTGAAGGACATCGGGGTTGTTATGAGTTTTTGGCTGTTACCAATAAAGCTGCTGTTAACATTCATGTACAGGTTTTTATGTGAACATAAATTTCATTTCTCTGGGATAAATGCCCAAGAGGGCAATTGCCAGGTTGTATGGTAAGCACATTTATTTTTGTAAGAAATCGTCCTACTCTTTTTCCAGAGTGAGTGTGTCATTTTATGTTCCCACCAGCGATGTATGACCAGTCAGGTTTCTCCACATCCACACAGGTATTTACTGTTATTATTTTTTATTTTAGTCATTCTGATAGATGTGTTTAATGATACCTCATTGTGGTTTTATTTTTGCTTTTTCATAATAGCTAATGATGTTGAACATCTTATCCTATGCTTATTTGCCATCAGTATCTTCCTCATTGTAATCTGTTCTTGTGCTTTGCCCATTTGCTAATTAGATTATTCTTTTTACTAATGAGTTTTGAGTTTCTTATATATCCTAGATACAAGTTCTTTGTCAGATATGTGGTTGTTTGAATTTTTAACATAACTTCTACCAAGAAAAAATTAGTAAAATTTGCCAAGTGTTCTTACACAGTCACTGACTTAATTCTTGTCCTTATGTGTTCCCCTAAGACAATATAAGGTATAAAAAAATAACACATCTAGGATCATGAATAGATAGATACTTGAGAATACATGTTGTGAAAGCAAAGCCAAGAACCGCTGTGAGAATATGAGGTGCCTGCCTAAATACTAAGGTGAATAAGAGATATGTGGATACAATTGACTGTGTAAACAGTTAAGAAAAATACTATCACTTGAAATTTTCCCCACTTCTCCCAGAAAAGGAGTAGGAGTTTGTTCTTTCTGTAATCTCTTTCTTAACCTTGCTGAGTGTTACAGGGCTTGTCTAATTGCAGTGGCAAGAATAATAGGATTTAGGGCCATGTAGCTTGCAGTTAAGAAGCAGCATTTTGAAATTAACAGAGAACACTGCTGTGATGACCTGGATGAAATACAAAGGTGAAAGAGGGAGTAGGTTACGTTGTCAAAATCTCAGGCTGTTTTGTTAATGTTACAGCTACTGTAAACCCAAAAGCCTTCTCTTCTTTTGACTCCCTATATGAATGAATGTCTCTGGTGTGGCATAAAAGTAGTTCTTTTATTAATTTGTGCAACATTGCCATCTGCTGTTAAGAATTGATAAGGATAGCTGAATCCTTGCATAAGGGAAGCAGATGTTAAGAAAGTTTATCTGGGGTATTACATATACTAAACAATGGAGGATACATCCAAGTAGGGAAGAAAATGACCAAATTTGTGGGTTAAGATCCATCCTTAGACGTTTAAAGGTGAAATTCTGTACTATTAACCTAACAAGATAACTCTCATATTTCTGACTGGTGCCTTTCCCTTTTTTTAAAAGAATGAAAGCTACTCAGTTGGTTTTAACATTCTGTTCTGACAAAATGTCAGAGAAGATAGAAGAGGAGAATATTTTATTTTGATGATGTTTCTGTTCCCAAATATGACTTTGTGAAACTAAAATTCTTTCATGCCTTTCCTTTCACTTATGCCAAAACTACCAACTCGGACATTTGTGCTTTTGGTTTAAAGTTCATTGATACTACACCTTGATTTTATCTGAAAAGTAAAATTATTTGCCTTTGATAAAAGGCTAGTGCAAAAGCAAATCAGCTTTAAAAACAAGGCTGCTATCTGGTTTCCCCGGTTTTGGAGCCTATTATTCAACATGTCTGTGTAATACAGATGAGAATGATGAAATTTAAGTAAGCTTTGTTATACCATTGTCATAAACCCGTCATAAGCAAGTTTTCTGTTTGTTTAATGGAAAGAGGCATGTGGGATTTATATGGATTCACTTCTAAGTGTTGGATGGGGATTTTTTGTGTAAATTTTCTCAAATAAAGGCTAGCAGAAACCATTTTAGGTGTATTTTTCTGTTACTCTTGAGTACCTCTTTGGATTTGCAGTCATTCCTCCATATTCCTCAGTTTTAAAGTATGGTATATTATATGTGATGAAGTAGAGAAAAAATATTGTCCATAATTTACTCCAGGTAGATCAAGTTTTTGTGAGCTAGCAAAAGTTTATTATGTTTTATATATAAATAAGTTATATATGTATATGGAAGTAATAATTTTACATCTTCGGAAAGACCAAATAGGATTCTATAAGCCCAGCATTCTTCTGTAGCTTCTTTCTTTTGGAAACTGATACTGGAATTATTCCTACCAGTCTTCTCCCTTGCCCTCCATTCTTAAAATACCTTTCCCAATTTTAGAACCCCTTAGGACTTGCTTTTTTGACCCATCACATCTATGCAAAACTCTACCCCAGCAAGTAAAGGCCATTTTCTCCTTTCCTTTTACTTGCAGTTGAACATTTTTCATAAAGCTTCTCTCCAAGAGTCAACCTGAAGTGCTTCATGCATTCACTGGCTGGCCTCTTACTTACCCTCTACCTCCATTCTCCAGAAAAACAGATAATTTGTCAGTGAATCTATGCAAAGTAGCGGTTCCCATCATTTAAGTATAAATATTTTAATCTCAACAATGTCTTATTTATCACTGATATTTTACTTCTGGAGAACATAAATAATGAATAAATTCAGCAACTTAAAAATAAATTTAATCTCAAAAGTATCATATTTGTTAGATGGTAGTACGTGTTTTACAAATTATTTATTCAATCTGCTGCAGTTGTGTCCCATATAACATGAGCCCCATGTATAATATTAAATTTGTAGTACCACATTAAAAAAGTAAAGTTAATTTTAATAATAGTTTGTGTAATATATCCAAAATAGCATTTCTACATGTAGTCAATATAAAAATTAATGAGATTTTACTTTTTTTTCATAGAAAGTTTTTTAAATCCAGTGTGCATTGTACAGCTACAGCACATCTGCATTGACTAGCCATAATTCAAATGTTCAACAGCTGCATGTAGTTAGTGGCTGCCATATTGGACAGTGAAGGTATAGACTTTGGTACTTTGGTAGATTCTTTATAGTAACTCTATGGCCCCTGGGAATCTGCCATTCACAAATGGGAACTTCTACTATATAGCATTCTAACTATTCACTTGTTAAAATATAATATGAAATACCTGTTTTTGAGTAAAGATATTTTCAAATCAGTTATACCTTTAGAATATTGAGTATTTCTGGACTTACTGTGAATATTCAAAGGTCAGATATTTAGTTTCATTTATATCCAGTATAAAGAACTGAGCATGAGTGTTTGTTCTGTGTTCTCTAAGGTGGAACTTGATGAGCTTATATCTATGCATTATAACTAGAACAATTGACAATATCATGCTAACCCAAGTTACAGAAAACTATCTAGTTCCTCATTGCAAAGATGCCCAAAAAAATGAATTTATAAGCTTTGGATGAAACCTGTTCAGCTTCTCTGAATGAAAGTCAATACTTCTAATTTCAAGTAATTGATTTTTCCATTCTTTTAACTCAAACTATTGAATGTTGTTTAATATGCTGAGCTAAACTCTGGAGTAGACCTGAATAAATAAGCAATACTTATTTTAAAGTGCCATCTAATTAACAGGAGGAAATGGAATGGCCTCTGTCTGGAATTATCTTCCTACTTTGTTTAGCGATTATTGACAGTATTTTAGATATTCCTCCAGGAAGCTTTCACTAACCCAGAAAGTTTGGCTGGGAAAGATGCTCCTCCTAAATGCCTTTTTCTAGAAACTTGTACTTTCCTTATAATAGCATATAATAATAGTACAACTTTCATGCAATTATCCTTATAATTGCCTCATCTGTCATATGGACTATAAGCTCCAAAAGAGTAAGAGCCGTGTTTATTTTGTTCTCCCTTGTAACCTAGCACCTGGCACAAGTTGGTACTCAGAGTTTGTTGAATGAATGAATTGAAAATTCAAAAATATCCGTACAATATAGAACTCTGGAATGAAACCAACAAAATAAAATTTAACAGTCTTGCATTTAGGTTTAAAAAGTGTATACAAACAAGATAATTACCTGATACTCATTCAACAAATCATTTTTAAGCCTATCGAGCATTTTTTGAGGCGCTGGTTATACAGAGCTGTGAACAAGAGCGCAAAATCCTCTCATAGAGCTTATATTCTAATGAATGGAGATAGTCAAATAAAGTAAACATGATAAACGAGATCAATATTTTATAGATCAGCATTGTGAAGAGTGATATGATCTGGTGGGAGGGCTGCGTTACATTGGATTGGATGTGGAAAAGATTTAGTTAAGTACAAAAACTGTATAAGCAGACCATCATGAAGGCTGGTATACTAATAAAATAGACATGTTGGATCTAAATCAAAGGAGACAAAGTCCCCTTGTACTCTCCTATTCAGATCTGATGTGGAATGTTATTCAGAGTGTAGGTTATCACACTTTTTTTCCCCCCACATCAGACAAATGGTACATCTCTTCATAGTTGCAATCATCGTAGCATAGGATATCATACTTTAAAGGAATGTTGATGAACTATAAAGAGGTCAGAGGAATGTGAACTCATTAGCCCTCACACCCCTTACCTCATTCTACCAATTCTCTTCCTCCTATTTGCTGTCATCACTACCCACCTAGTTAAAAACCAGGAAGTATCTTCTGGACTCAGATTTACCTCACCCACCATACCCCAACTGACCATAAAGTCTAAATGTTCTTTGGATGGATTTTGTAAATCTGGACACTAATAAGTACCTCAGTATCTCTTCTTAGAAAATAAATTGCCTCTTGACTGGTTTCCTTGACTCCAGTCTTTGCCTTCCACATTGTCATCAGAGTTCCTTGTGAAATATAACTAACTGTACTTAAGTAAGGTGATCATATTGTGTATTGTCTGAGGTGGGCGTGTGAGTAAAAGAAGGCTCTATTAATTATGCTAGGGGAAGAAAAGGTGTAAATTAAGATTTCCCCAGCAAATCAGGACATAGTCACACTAATGATACACTCCCCTGCTTAAAAATCTCCAATAATTTTCCATTAGCCACAGTAAAAGCCAAACTCTTTAAAACTCTACATTTGAGGCCCTGTCTTCTCCTGCTACTCCACAGGCACCCTGGCCTCCAGCCACATGACCTCTTAGCCCCAGCACATCCTGCTCTAGGAAAAGTCCTGGAGCCAGATTGCTGGATTTGAATCCCAGCACCCCTTACTGTGTAACATTGAGCAAGTTACTTAACCTCTCTGTATTTTAGTACTTTCTGTAGAATGGGAATAATAGGATTAAATGGAATGATACATGGAAAGAAAACATTTAGCACAATGCTAGGAACACAACACTATAAATGTTTGCCGTTATCACCCTGATGTTGGTCATATTCCCAAAACTTTACTGATTAAAAAACAAACTTGGAGATGTGAAGTTGCCCAAAGTCACATAACTGATAGAACATGTTTTTCACTGTACTGCAATTCTTTTATTGACTTGAGGGCAGGGAGCATCTTATGGCAGATTCCCTACCCCGAATACAGTAGCACCTAGCGCTCAGAGAATGTTGCATGAGATCAGATGGTCAAAGCTTTGGAAAGAAACACGGAAGGATAATGTTAAGTCTAGGGGGGAAAAGCCTCAGGAAAGTCGACTTAAAATACGTTTGTAGTTGTAAGAGGGAGGGACCAAGCGTGGTTCTGGGAGAAATCATTGGGCCCGCTGACTCAGAGATGACATGAGGTAAATATTTCCTCCAACTATAATACCTCTCTAAACAAAGAGGGCCATGCAACGTTGGAAGGGACTGCTGGCCCAATCACTGCCCCCTGAGATAGGCCTGACACTAAAAAGATTGGACAAACTCTGGACCTCGAAGCTATCAGGGGACTTGGCCGAGGATTGAGAAAGTGGTCTACAAACACGTAAGTGACCTCCTTGCCCCAGCCAGAGCCCTTCTGTACCACGCAATCCCTACCACGCACCCGTCACACCCTGCGCGAGGCCTCACTTTTCCCGCGGGTTCCGGACGGAGAAAGCCGTAGCCCGGAGACTAAGCAAGTGGGCCAGCTTAGGCGGAGGAAACCCCGCCGGGCCGGAAGCACCCAGAACTGCTTCCGGGTCAGGGGTAAAGAGCCACCATGGAACCTCGCGGGGTTGCGGGGCTGACGGAGCCGCGGGCCGGCGTCTGAAACGAGAGGGGCGCGGCACGGCAAGCACCACCGGGGACACGCAGGCAGGTCCCGCTGCCGCCGCCATGTCGGTGCTGGGCGAGTACGAGCGACACTGCGATTCCATCAACTCAGACTTTGGGAGCGAGTCCGGGGCTGGCGGGGACTCGGGCCCGGGGCCCAGCACCGGTCCGGGACCGCGAGCCGGCGGCACGGCGGAGCAGGAGGAGCTGCACTACATCCCCATCCGCGTCCTGGGCCGCGGCGCCTTTGGGGAGGCCACGCTGTACCGCCGCACCGAGGTAGCGGTCTCTGGCTCCCGCCTCCCCAGCCCCTCCTTCCCGGCTCCGCTTCCCCCGCGTTTTGCGCCTGGTCCACAATTAGTGTTTGGGCGCTTGCAGAGTGTATGTCTCAGGGTCCTCTCACCACTCTTCCAAGTCACCTGAACTAGGAATTGGTTAGATCACTGCCTTTACTAACTGGTCGCTTTATTTAACCCAGGGAACTGAGCAAGTCATCGTTCCTTTTCTTAGCCTTAGTTTCCCCATCTATAGAATGGGGTTAGTAATAACTACCTTTAAAATAATTATTTTTCAAGGCTGTTTTGAGACTCGACAAAGGTACTTTGCAAACTATACGATTGTGAGGTGTTGCCAAAACCTACTTCCTCTCATGCTATATAGCGCTCCAAGGTCATGGTTGGGAGGACCCGAATAGATTAAAAATTTCCACGTCAATGGCAATGCCGCTATCTTTGCCGTTATCTTTAAGCTTAGATGTGAACACTCGGAGATTTTTCTTGAAGATCATTAGGGAGATAGTCGTGTGTTGGTTTTCTCATCATTGTTTATCCAGCAGCGTTCATGCTTGAGAAATACTTTTTTGGTATATTCTCAACCATTAATTCTTAATTGAGATCACAAGGACTCCTTTGAGAACCTAAAGTAAACATAACCCCCCCCCACACACACACACACATTTGCATATGTATATATCCTGTGAAGAGATTCATGTATCACTGACCCCTAAGTTCAGAATGTATACAGGGCTAAAACCCTGTAGCGGTGACTCTACTTCCAAAAACTAACCCCGAACTGATTTTGATTACTAAAGTCTTAACATTTTAGCTTCAGAGTAGTTAAGCATTTAATGAGAGCTTGCTGGGGTTACTGAAGGTGATTGATCCATTAGCGATTCGTCTAGAGTTTTGGTGTGTGTTCCATGTTAGCATCGTTTTAAGGCTGAAAGATGGAGAGAAGTGGCTGCAAGAGAATATCTTTAAGTGTTCTTTTTTATCCTAATGCCACATTAATGTATGATGTTAGACTTACTGTTATATTCTGTTTTCTTATTTGTACTCACATGAGAAAGAGGAGATGAGCATTAGTATTCCTATTTTATAGTTAAATTAAAACTACTGTATATTTAAGTGATTTACTCACTTAAATTAGAAGTAAATCTTGGACTAGAATGGAGTTTTATATCTCCTTGCCCATTCCTTTCCATTATTATCGTGTTGAACTTGATTACTGAGATTATTTTAAGTTAAATTTGATTATACTTCTCCCAAACTGCATAACATCATCTATATCACCAAATATTTATTAGATTTGTGGATTTACAAAAGTTTAATTAGAAGTGGCCCTTTTCCTCGAGGAGATTGTATTTCAATGAGAAGACAGGTTTGCTCTGTTAGTAAACAAATAACATTAAGTTGTATGTGTATAGAAATGAAAAAGAATGGACAAATATTTCATTGTATGAGCTCTGAAAATTAAGGGAATGATTGCATTGACGTACAGCAGAAAGTTCATCAGGACCTTCCCCCAAAAGTTCGAAGGATCTAGCAGAGCCATTCTAAAGAATAGGGAGAATTATTTAGGTGAAGATGCTCCTGAGATAGGGAGCAGTGTCAGTAAAGAATTAGAGATATTATAAAAGGGAGTGGATATTGGAAACTGCAGATAAGGTTTCATGAATAGAGAAAGACGTGATGCATAAAAGTGATAGGAGATACGTGTTGCAAAATGAGGTTGCATGTGTTAGGTGAACCTAAAGCCCTTTGGCATAACTTACTCTTATCCAGAAAGGGTAAATGAAAATCACTAGAGAAATCTAATTTTATAAAATTAGAAGCAAGTTTAACATTTTCACTTTAAAGCAACTGTGGTCGGCTATAGGGAACCACTCTTCAGTTCTTTATTTCTCCAAAAGCCCTACTTCAGTTTTCATCATGACTAACAGTCTGTCATAATGTCCTTTAACAGAATCTTTGAGGTCTTCTATCCCATATATTTACCTGGAATTGACATCATGCAAATTAAGTGTAGCAATAATATAATAGCATTTTAATATCCTGTGGTAAAATATGATGCTCAATTATATGCAGAACCTTTACAGTCTGTTCAAATTTTGTTTAAGGGAAAAAATAAAAGCAGTCAGTCTCTGCCCATCTAGGAAGTTTTCTTTCTAGGTTTACAGATCAAGTATGGATTCATTCGCTGCCAGGCAAGAGGAAAGCACGATACCTCTATTGCTGTGTTGTAGGATGACTCATTGGTTGTGTGGAAGGAAGTTGATTTGACCCGACTGTCTGAGAAGGAACGTCGTGATGCCTTGAATGAGATTGTTATTCTCGCACTGCTGCAGCATGACAACATTATTGCCTACTACAATCACTTCATGGACAATACCACCCTGCTGATTGAGCTAGAGTATTGTAATGGTAAGGCTGAATTCAGTGCAACTTCCTCTGGCAAGACTTTCTCGTGCTCATACTTATCTTGAGGGAGAGAAAAAAAGAAAAGACATATACAGTGATTAAAAACTTTAAATGGATATATTAAGTTTAAGAGAAATAGTTCAGGCTCTGGAGAGTTTTGAAGTGATGTACAAAATAAAGGGAGGGATTTTCTCCTACATACTCCCCTTGTGATTATAGTTCCATCTTCAAATTACTTGTTCACTTGGATTTTACATTCATTTTTCAAGGCTTTTTTCCCTCATGAAATGACAAGAGTTAAGCATTAGAGACATGGGTGGCTTGATATAAAATTTAATGAAATCGTATAGGTAATATTGATTTATGTTGACTTCAGCCAAAGCAATCCTATTAAAAAGTGGTCCAAAGATCATAACTGAATGAAAATCAAAACAGTAAAGCATGGTCTTATCTATCTGGTCTCTGATTTCTTTAGACCATTTTACTTGTAAGATAGCAGTATGGCCTAGCCGTTAAAAAAATAGACTCTGAACCAACATCTCAAGCTTCATGACTTTTTAGTTCTGTAACCTTGCACAGGAACATCAACTTTTTTGTATTTTAGCTTCCTCATTTTAATATGAGTTTGTTGATAACAGTACCTGCCTCTTGGGGTTATTGTATTAAATGACTGTAAAGCCCCTGGCATAGTACTTGGTATGTAGCAAATGTTTGATACATACAGTATTAGCTGTTATATTATTACTTAAGAGCACTTTCAGAGTCCTTTCTTGAGTTGCATGCTAGAGAGGTTCCGGCATATTCTTCACTTAAGTCTCTAGGAGAAAGCTTCTAGACTCTTAACTTTTCTTCTTTAGACTCTTGTATATCATTCTCCCTGGTTCTGATCAACCCTAAAAGTACAAGATTACAGTAGATTTTTGAAGTAGCAGAAACCTCAAGTAGTTAACTTCCTTTGTGGTTAGGAGGATCTAGAACAAGTGGTACATTTATTGAAATTCTGAGTTACTAAATTACAGGGGAAAAGAAGTTGTGAAACTTAGCTGAGCTAAAGTGTAAGTTACAGTTGCAGGTAAGAAATAAAATGAACCATGATTGTTTTCAGTCTGTGTTACTTGATAAAAGAAAGAGAAACAAATTCAGACTTTGAATTAGTAAAGGGAGTAATGACTGTAAACAATCTAGAGTGTCCCCTAAATTTCAGGAAACCTTTTCAATGTTAAGTGTTAAGAAAAAGTTGTCAGTTATATATACCTGTATATACTAAACATTGCATCATAAGTGTAACCCAGATGTTCTTCTATGCGCACTGAGAGTTGTTGTTATAAAAATATTGCAGATTCCTTTAAAAGTTCTATTAAAAAATCATCTGATTGAAAACGTTCAAGGTAATTTCACTAATTGAGGTACTATAGGAATAGTTTTTGCTCTCATCTTTTCAAAAATGTCATACTTCCTGTTTTTGTATTGAGCTTCTTCTATTAGGAGAATCTTTGAAGATTATTTCTGGTATAGTCCTTGAGAGATGCGAAGAGTTTTTTACCCATGTGAAGAGCCAGGAGAGAAGAAGGGATTTCCTTTGGAGAGGAGGCAGAATCCTTCATTTCCTTGTGTTATCTGTTAAAACTTTAGTAGATACAGGAGCCAAGCTTTGATCTCTATTTAGCAATTCAAACTTGTCTCTTGTTTAATTGCAGGAGGGAACCTGTATGACAAAATCCTTCGTCAGAAGGACAAGTTGTTTGAGGAAGAGGTAATTTATGTTTCTATGGTCGGAAGCTAGAATTATGTGTTGCATTCTAGTTCTGTATTAACTCTTCCAACAATGAAGAGTGTTTTTTTCCTTTTGTTCAGACTCCTTCCAGGCTCTGGTTGATATTCATGAGAAAGGAAACCTCTAACAAGGAAGCTGTCTATAGCTGCTTCCTAAACGGTTTACCTCCACATCATGATTCTCTATGGGCTTTCTTTCCCGGTTCTATTACTGCATACTGGTATGCCCAGTTTTCTATACGTTTGCATTCTTCCTGGATTTCCTTCCACAAATTTGCTTCACAATACCATATTTTATAATGACATTGGAAATATTTTATGATGACCTGCTTTTTCTTTTTACCTCTACCACTTTTCCTTGCCTACTCAACCTATAAGCAAGAGATGTCAAGTCATCCTCTGGATGCAGCTTCCTTTGTTTTGTTTGAGTGTGCGTGTGTACTTAAATGGAATTTTAGAAAATTTGTTTCCAATCCAAATATAATTTATTTTTTTTCTCTGCAGATGGTGGTATGGTACCTATTTCAGATTGTTTCAGCAGTGAGCTGTATCCATAAAGCTGGAATCCTTCATAGGTAATGAGTGAAAGACTGGAATGGGTTTCTTCCCACCAGGCCAACCCCCACCTTGGGTACCTCCCATCAGCTCTGTTATTTACTTGATTAAGCAGTCAAGGTTTTTACATTGATATATTT